ATGGTGGCAGAGGACGACGAGGACGAGACCGCCAGGACAGGGGCCGCTTCCTCCTCCTGCACCCCCCCCTGGCGCCACCTCCTCTTCTTCCTCCTTGCCACCACTCCGTTGTACCTCCTCCTCCTACTCCTCCTCCTCCTCCTCCTCCTCATCATCATCATCATCATCCTCATCCTCCTCCTCCTCCTCGCATCCGCCTCCTCCTCCACCATCACGTCCTTCTCCCCCTCCTCCTCCTCCTCCTCCTCCTCGCTCCTCGCTCCTCCTCCTCCTCCTCCTCCACTCCTTTTCCTCATAACTAATTTTCCCTGTCGCACCCCGAGGCCAGCTTTTAGGGCGGGCCGGGCGTTCTGCCTGAGACTTCCTCATTTTTTCGACTCTGAAGTTCAAAAAGTGGCAACAGCTTCACAGATGGAGGGCGGGTGGTTTTCAAAATGTGGCTCTCGACTTAGCGCCGCGAACATTCGTTTTAAACATTCGCAAGAGTTTCACGGATTGAGGGCTGGCCGTTTTCAAATGTTTTCAATATGTGGCTCTCGCTTTAGCGCCGCGAACACTCGCTTAACAACATTGTTTGTAAGAGCTTCACGGGTTCAGGGCGGGACGTTTTCAACATGTGGTTATCGCCTTAGCGCCGCGCAAATTTGGTTTCACGGATTGCGGGCGGATGGTTTTCACAATGTGGCTCTCGCCTTAGCTCCGCGCACATCCGTTGTAAAACCATGCAAGAGTTTAACGGATTGAGGGCGGGAGGCTTTCAACATGTGGCTATGGACTTAGCGCCGCGAACATTCGTTTTAAACATTCGCAAGAGTTTCACGGATTGCGGGCGGCTGGTTTTCAAAATGTGGTTATCGTCTTAGTTCCGCGCACATTCGTTGTTAAAAATTGCACAAGAGCTTCACGGATTGAGGGCGGTCCCTTTTCAAAATGTGGTTTTCGCCCTAGCGCCGCGCACATTCGTTTTAAACATTTGGAAAAGTTTCACGCGTTCCCATGATTCAGGATTATGCGGGTGCAGCAATTACGTTGGTTCGCGGTGTTGAAGTCCCCCAAATCGTGTTCTGGCGCGATACCGGATCGCCAAGACGCAGCAGTCACGTTGATCCGCGGCGCTGAAATCCCGAGAACAATATTTTGGCATGCTTCAGAGTCTTCAAACGATTGTCTTCCAACGGGGCAGTTCCCTCAATGGAAATGAACCGTTGGGGCCTAAGAAGAGGGTGCTTGGAGGGAGGGCTCATTGCAACATCTTTGATGATTCTTGGGTTTACACTGGTTCTCCTCCTCGTCCTCCTCCTCCTCCTCCGTACCTCCTCCCCCTCATCCTTAACTCCCCATCGTCCTGGTGTTTTTTGCTTCTCCTCCTCCTCCTCCTCCCTCCTCCTCGATGCTCGATGCAACGGGCCTTTCGTTGTCCGTAGAGCTGAGGCCCTCGTTCCGTCCTTTTTCTCCTCCTCCGCCTCCTGACCTCCGGCTCTTCCTCCTTCGTCATCATCCTTCCCTTCCTCCCCCTCCTCACCTTCCTCCTCCTCCTCCTCCACCAGCTCCTCCTCCTCCTCCTCCTCATTACCCCACCCCTCCTCTTCCCCCTCCTCCTCCTTCTCCTCCTCCTCCTCCTCCTCCAATCCTTTACCTTCTTGATAATTCTTCCTTGTCGCACCCCGAGGCCGGTCGAAAAGACGGGCCCCGCGTTTCACTTGAATCTTAAAAGTTGCAACAGTTTCACAGATGGAGGGCGGGTGGTTTTCAACATTTGGTTCTCGCTTTAGCGCCGCGCAAATTCGTTTTAACCATTTGAAAGGTTTCAGGGGTTGAGGGCTGGACGTTTTCAAACTGTGGCTTTCGCCGTAGCACCGCGCACGCTCGTTTTTATACATCTGCAAGAACTTCACTGATTGAGGGCGGGTTGTCTTCTTCAAAATATGGCTCTCGCCTGAGCGCCGCGCACATTCGTTTTAAACAAGTGCAAGAGCTCACGGGTTGAGGGCGGCTGGTTTTCAAAATGCGGTTCTCGCCTTAGCGCCGCGCACATCCGTTGCACAACAATGCAAGAGTTTACCGATTTACATGGTCAACGTATCAGAAATAGTGTTGTGGGAGGGTTCAGGATTGTGAGGGCGCAGCGGTTGCGTTGATCCGCGGTGTTGAAGCCCCAGGAATAGCGTGCTGGCACGATTCAGGATCGTCAAGACGCAACAGTCAGGTTGACCCGTTGCGTTGGCGCTCCAAGAATGGTGTTGGTGGTTTGGCATGCTTCAGGGTCTTCAAGCGGTTGTCTCCCAACGAGGCAGTTTCCTCAGTAAGTAGACGTGCATCTCTGTAGGAACCTACGAAGAAGGAGCTTGGAGGGAGGGTTTATTCCAACATCGTTAATGAGTCTTGGATTTGCACGGGTCCTCCTCCTCCTCCTCCCTGACCAGAGGCGGTCCACGCGCTCCGTAAATTGGTGTTGTCGCGCCCTTCTTCCTCGTTGTCTTCTGCCCTCCTCCTCCTCCTCTTCAGTCCTCTGACCTCGTACATCATACTTCTCATCTCCCCTTGACTTCCTACCCCCCCTCCTCTTCAACTGCAGAGGCTACGGCGTCCACGTCATACCCTGCGGGCTCCCCAGCGATGCGCGTACACTCCGACGCCCGACTCCTTCTCTTCGTTTGGTCACGAAGCTGCGAACCCCCCTTCTGAGTGCCGCACAGGTCACGACATTGGTCACGCTTTACTCGCAGCGACTGTCACTGCGACCCTGCGCGAAACGCCCGAGAACAAGCCACATTACATGTCCGATGTTTATGTTTTTGTCCACATAGGCTTGTCTATAGGAGTCCTTGCTTTTTGCGTAGAGAACTGGTCCACTGTCCCCCCCCCTCTCCTCAAATTTGAGTTTGCGTCGACGTGGTTCCGATGACTTTTTCTCCGAATGGCCTCCTCTACTATTCTAGACGTTTTACGAACCCCACCACCCCATCCAGAAACGATGCCTACGCGAGTTGCTCTAATCAGGGATTTGGAGGTGCATGCAATGGAATAAAGGGCTGGGGAAGTCTTCATACCCCAAGTGGGCGAGGATGGAAGGAGGAGGAGGAGGAGAAGGAGGAGGAGGAGGAGGAGGAGGGAGGAGAGGGAGGAGGGAGAAGGGGAAGGGGAGGGCGAGGGGGAGGAGGGAGAAGGGAGCAGGAGGAATAGGCGGATGATGATGATGATGCTGCTGCTGATGATGATGATGATGATGATGAGGAGGAGGAGGAGGCGGAGGGCGAGCAGACAGCTCACAGGCCTCTTGGATACCTCTCAGAGTCTTTTCGGATGCCTCTTGAGAGATTCTTGGAGTCCTCTTGGGGCGTCTTAGGGGGACTCTTGGCGGTCCCGGGGCCTCTTGGAGCGTTTTGGGTGCCTCGGGGGAGGCTCTTGGGGCGTTTTGGGTGTCTTTTGGGAGCCTCTTGGCGGACTCTTGGGGGGTTTCTTAGAGCCTCCTTTTCGCCTCTGGGAGCCCTCTTGGAGCCATCTCGGGAACCTTGGGGGCCATCTCGGGGCCATATAGGAGGAGTTCGATCAAAGAAGAGGCGTACTTAATCAGCGCTCCCGCCCCAAGAGGCGCAACTTGGCCCAACACCTTACGAAAATGAATGATGTCTGCCTTCTCGCTGAGGCCTCCTTGGACGCTCTAATGACCCGCGACCCATCCCCAGCTTGTTCCGAGCGAGGGGGGAGGGGGAGGACCACTCACGCCCTAAAGGGCTGAGCTAGTCCCTATCAGGTTCGCAGGGTGCCATAGGAATCGCACAGGATGTTTAAAGCATGGAATCGGGTTCTTATGGAATCTCAGCGGAACCGTATAGAAGCTCTATCGAATATCATAGGTTTCATAGGGGATTCCTATCAGATGCCTCTTGGATCTCACTGGACTCGTATAGGAACCGTAGATATATCCGATGTCCGGGGAATCGTTTAGGACGCTCGTCGGATCTCGCAGGGATACTATAGGATGCCTTTTGGACTCCTATGAGATCGCACTTGAATTGTATCGGATTCCCATCGGATCCCATAGACACCAGATAGGACTCCTATAGGATCTCACTGGAATCGTTTAGGATTGCTATAGGACCTAATCGGAATCAGATAGGGTCTCATCGGAGTCCGTAGAAGACTTGCTGGATGCGTATAGGATCTCTTTGGGATCCGATAGGAGCCCTATAGCTTGTTCTTATATTGGATTCCTGCAGATCCTTTTGAAATCGTAGAGGTTTTGTTTACAGGATCCCTTTATAAAATCATGAGAATCGCATCGGGTCCCGATTGGATCCCATAGGAAACGTGCAACAAACATATCGGACCCTCATCAGTTCTCATAGGAAACGTTCAGGACACCTCTAGGATCGCATAAGAATCGTGACGAGTAGAGCAGGGTAGAGTAGAGCGGGGTAGACGGTAGAGAAGGCCATGCATAGCAATGAGCAGAGCAGGTCAAAGTAGGCTTGGGAGTAGGATCGGATGTGGCAGAATAGAGTAGGGTAGGGTAGAGCAGGTAGGGTAGAGCAGACCATATTAGAGTAGGGTAGATGGTAGAGTGGAACCAGACAGAACATTGTAGAGTCGCGCATATCAGAGTTGTGTAGAGGAGAGCATCTGAATAGAGTACATCATAATAGAAAGACCATGATGCAGTAGAGCAGGGGAAACTGTAAGGTAGGACCAGAGCATATTAGGAGTATGATATAATACGTATATTAGAGTATGGTAATGTAGAATCGACTAACGTATAATAGAGTACGAGCGAACATGCTAGTGTAGTGTATGGTAGGGCAGGGTAGGTTCGAGTAGAGTAGGTTAGAGTAGAGCAGAGCATTGTGGAGTAGATGGTCGAGTAAAATCGGCTCGAGTAGAGTAGAGTAGAGTAGAGTAGAGTAGAGTAGAGCAGAGTAGAGTAGAGTATAGCACAGTAGAGCACAGTAGAGTCGATCCGAGTATAGCATAACAGGGTAGGGCAGGGTAGAGTAGAGTAGGATCGAGTAGAGCATAGTAGAGTAGAACATAGTACTTGGTAGAGAGAGAGTAGAGTAGAGCAGATCAGAGTCGAGTGACGTAGTGGAGAATATATGAGAGTAGAGCCAGAGTAGATGAGGTAGAGCAGAGTAGAGTAGAGCAGCGTAACATAGAAATATAATCGGGCAGAGTAGAGTATGCCAGGATAGGGTAGGGAGGGTAGGGCAGGGCAGGTAGAGGAGGGCAGAGCAGAACAGAGTCGAGTAGAGCAGGGTACATGGTAGAGTGGAGCCTGGTATAATAGAGAAGAATATAGTAGGGTAGGGTAGATGGTAGAGTAGAGTCGCGTAGAATAGGGTCGAGTAGAGCAGAGTAGAGTAGGGCATCCAGTATATGAGTAGAGTAGAGTAGAGTAGAGTAGAGTGCAGTAGAGTAGAATAGAGCCGTGTCGGAAGACGGCCGGCTGCACATGTATACTTTGCCCCGTCCTTCTTTTCCCCTCCTCTCCTACATGCTTTGTCCCGTCCTTCCTCTCCCCTGGTCTCGGCGGAATATGTATATCTGAGAAGTCCTCACAAGGCCAGGTTGGAAGACGACCAGGTGCACGCAAGAATGAGACAGTTCGCTTCGCGCCTGTGCCCCACCGCCTATCCAAACGCCTGGCATAAATCAGGTGTGGCCTCGTAGAAGCTGCCACGTGTGTGTGTGTGTGTGTGTATGTGTGGGTGGGTGGGTGGGAAGGTGTGTGCGTGTGCGTGTGCGTGTGCGCGTGCGCGTGCGCGTGCGCGTGCGCGTGCGCGTGCGCGTGCGCGTGCGCGTGCGCGTGCGCGCGCGTGCGCGTGGCCGCGCGTGAGTGTGTGTGTGTGTGTGTGTGTGTGTGTGTCTGTGTGTGTGTGTGTCTGTGTGTGTGTGTCTGTGTGTGTGTGCGTGCGTGTGTGTGTGTGTCTGTGTGTGTGTGTGTCTGTGTGTGTGTGTGTGTGTGCGTGCGTGTGTGCGTCTGTGTGTGTCTGTGTGTGTGTGTGTGTGCGCCACCCCACGTGGCGCGCCATGGGTTGCTCCATCCATGGGTTGCGTGGATTGCGCGATCCGTGGGCGCGGGTTGTGCCATCCATGGGCCACCACCTTCGAGATGCGCCACGGGTTGCACCACAGTTTGCGCACTCGGCTGCTGAAAGTACAACGGCGTGCTATCGGCTGCCCCCAATGGGTCGCGCACGCTGCTGCCGAGACTGGGACGGACGGCCTGCCGTTGGTGGCGCCATCGGTTGCGCGCTCGTCGCGGTCGACTGTGAAACGGCTTGCCGTCAGTTGCGCCACAGGTTTGGCATTCGGAAGCTGGAGCAGAAACGGCCTGCTGGCGATTGCGCCATAGGTTGCGCATACGGCCCGCGATAACAAATCGGGCTGCTGATGGCTTGCGCCACAGGTTGTTGCGCTATGCGTCCGGGGACATTTCCTCCGCCTAGCAGGTGCGACCAGTCAGGCAGTCAGTAAGCCAGTCCGGTGGACTCTCAAAAAACAAGTGCGGTACACGCCCGAAAGTAATGTATAATGTCCCGTCCCGCCCCATCCCGCTCGGTGGGTTCTGGTCTCGGTGGGTTCTGGCCTCGGCCCCGGTCCTTGCTCCTCCTCCTGCTCCTCCTGCTCCTCCTCCTCCTCCTGCTCCTCCTCCTCCTGCTCCTCCTCCTCATTCTCCTCCTCCTCATCCTCCTCCCCCCCTCCTGCGCACCACATCCCGCTCTCGGCCGAACCGACGACGACGACGACGACGACGACGACGACGACGACGTCATCATCGTCATCGTCATCGTCATTGTCATCGTCATCGTCATCGTCATCGTCACGCGCTCTCCCGTGTGGCCCCCTGGGGCCAACTTTTGGAAGACGGCCCCTTGCGCCCAGCTGTCCCACCCGCCCCTCGTCCTGGCCCTCCTTCGGACGGTGCTGGGTCTCAGTCGGGCCTGTCCCTCCACAGGAGGAATACTCAAAAATAGTAAACAAATAGTCTGGGCCCCCCACGAACGTTCCAAGGCTCAAAGAGGCTCTGGCAGGGGCCCCAAGCCGGCTCAGGAGGGCTCCAAGACGGCTCCCGGAGGAGCCCAAGACGGCCCGAGAGACAGACCCAAGTCGGCGCGAGAGAGCCCCCAGGAGCCCCCACACGGGCTCCAAGAGTTAAGTCGGGCACGTCCCTCTTCAGGAGGAATATTCATCGGGGCGACTTTTGGTTATTATTTTTGAATAGTTTTACGTAGTGTTTGACATTTTTTTTTTTCGTCCAACATCGGCCTGTAGGGGGACAGGCCCGACCTAAGGCTGGGACAAGGATAATCCGTTCCAGAGCGTTCCAGCACGCTCTCGGAGCGTTCCGGACCGCTCTGAGCAGGCCGCGGCACCTGAGACATCCTCCAGAGCTGCCGGATCTCAGAGATTCTCGATTTTTCCCCAGCTTCGGCTTACTCACTCCTTGTCCCACGTCCCGCTCTCCCCCTCGGGAGGCTGCACGGGGCCGACCTGGAAGACGGCCCAGTTGCGTCCAGATGCCCTACCCCGCCCCTCGTCCACCACTTCGTGTGTACCTCGCCCCGTCCCAGCTGCCAGCTTCCCAGACCCCCGACGTCGTGTTTTTTTCACGACGTCGACCCCCCGAGGTCGAGTAGGGGATCGACTACATAATTGATTGTTGCCCAAATATCGATTTTTCCTTATCAGCTGTGCAACGAACACAGGAAGCTTTGCAACATCTGCTGATGGTTTAAAGTATATTCCGTAGATTCGACGAGAAAATCAAGTCTGGGGCAAATCAATTTTGTAGTCGATCCCCTACTCGGAGAGGAAGAACCACCCAGACAGGACGACTGGCGTTTACTAAACAGCCTTGCCTTGTTCGATTCCTTCAGTGGGGGCGTTTAGTAAACGGCTTGGCGTGTCGGAGTGGTTGTTATGGGGGTGGATTGTTTGCCCTCTGTGGGTCTCCGTCGAGGCTCGCCCGCGCCCCGCCAGGAAGCCTCACAAGGCCAGCCTGGAGGACGAGTTCTTCAGGCATCCCCCTGGGCCACGCGGCGCTCGCCCCGCCGCCAAGGTCCCCCCCGTCTGCCCCTCGACCGTTGAGGCCCAGGGTTACGTCGGGGCTGTCCCCCTACAGGAGGAGTATTCAAAAATAGTTAAAAATAGTCTGGGGACGATTTCTCTGTTGTATTTTGATGATTGATTTGGGAATTATTTATCTCTTTAGAGTTACTCCTCCAAAATCCGCCTGTGGGAGGACATGCCCGACCTGAGCCATGGGACCCGTCCTGATCCCCCTTGGCTCAACGCCAAGGGGGGGGACCACCCAGGGTATGGTCAACTCCTCCAGGAAACGGACTTCCTGGGACCCTCAATCGCCGATCTTCCATCCTCGATCCTCGAGCCGAGGTGGTGGTGACCCCCCAATAGGTGACCCCCCTTCGCACTGGTCGATCGGCACCGACTTCCTCAACATAATCGTATCAAGGAAACGCGATGGCATTTGGAGCAGTTGCCCATGGTGACGAGAGCATCGGAGCTCTTCTGGAGCCGATGTTCTTGAGGGCAGCATCGAGGGTGTCAAGATAAAGTTACCGTGCGGGGGGCACTGAAATTACCCTGTAGCTTTTCCCGTGCCAGAGTGATTGAGGTAGCGGAGTTGATATTTGTTCATGACGGCACGGATGCTTGGGAAGGATGCTTGAGGCTGAGAGGCTGGAGGCGTACACCAGGAGGCGCGCTATGACCAGGTATGACTTGCTCGAGTCTCCAGTGCCCTCGTCGCGACAGGGGAAGGCACGTGCGAACATTGCGATACCACAAGCGTGTGAGAGCCAGCCCAGCAAAGCTTTGTTCTCATGGGTCCAGCCGCCGGGCAGATTCAGTCAAACCGTGGGGCGTTTTTTCGCATCTGTGCTGGAAGCCAATGTCCCCTGGCCCACACTCGAAAATTGCGACAGGCTGTCATAGGCCGATGCAGGCGCGACGGGGATCGCGCGCTCTCTCTCTCTCTCTCGTTCTTTCTGTCTCTTTCTCTCTCTTTCTCCTTGAAGGTATGTCTGTATATATATATATATATATATGTATATGTATATATATATATATATATATATCTCCCTTCATTTCTGGCTCACGGCACCCTCTCTCTCTGAATTTGTATGTAGATATGTCTCTCTGTTTTCCCATCCCTCTCTCTCCCCTTATTTTTCTCCCTCTAACACCCCCTCTCGCCTCGCCCATCCCTTCCCATTCACCCCCCTCTTTATTTCTAATTGTCTCCCTCTCCCGTTCCCTTGCTTGCGGTCTCCTGCCCCATTCCCCTGAGACGTCTGCCGAATCAATCCGCTCCCTGGCACCTTGCCCCACTCACCCCATCTATCTACCCTTTCTCCACCCGCCTATCTGCCCGTTCTCCCCACCCCCTCCAGCCCAGGCATCCGCAACAAAACAACGACCCTGCCCAGGCATCCGCACACCGGGGCGCACATTCGCAACCCCTTCAAGGAGAACAAGAACCGCGGCCTGCCCATCACTCTGCAGCAAGATGAGTCGCCTGGGCTGACGAAGCAACACCACAGCCGAAGTGGGAGTCAACCATGGGATATTTCCTTATAGGCCAGCGTTGACCTCTCTTAGGGGGTCTTCTTTACTTCGTCGCCCATCTGCCAGCTTTCGCCCGCAAAGCCGCCTTCCTTTCGTTTCGCTGGCTTCCGCCGGCCAGAGCCAAAAACCCAGGGCCAAATTAAGAAGTCGGAGGTCCGTCCGGATTGTTGTAGTCAGCGCTGGGCCCGCGAGCTCCTGCGGGCGCTGAAGATCCGGGCGCCGCAGAATGTTCACCCGACTGCGGGCCCGAGGGTCGTCACGGAACAGCAGGGCCCCGGCTGCGATTTCTCCAGATGTTGCAATTGGTTTGCTAATTCAAACCTTGGGTCTCTCCAGAGGCTGCAGAGACCCAACAAGGACCAGTTGCGTGATCAAAACAGATATGAGGGAGAGCTCCAACCTACAGGTGAACATATACAGTGGGGGCTCGTACCGAGAAAAACCCTGCGTGGCTCCAGGGTGCCCTGGGATTCTCTTGGGTTTCGATGGTTTTGCTGTGACATGCGCGATGTCCCCCCCACCAAAATCCAATGGGCGTCCTGGGGACTCAGGGTTGGGTTTCTTGTGGAAGGTTTCTTGTGGACTGGCCTCCACTGCAAGATTTTTTTAGGTCCGCGCGGATTTCGTGGGTCGGCGCCGCACCTCCCTCTCACTAGCGCACGGGGCGCGCCAGGGGCCGCGCCAGAGGAGCCGCCGGGAGTGTGGGAAGGGGGGGGTCCTGGGCCGGCCGAAGGGAGCCGCGCGGACATCCCAAAGTTGGACGTCTATGTCGCCAGACATCTGCTGTGGTGCCATGTTCACTGCGGGGCCTGCCGAAGCCCCGACCCCTACCCCGGCCGGACTTTTTTATCCCGGGTCGATGTTTGGCGGCCCCGTGGCCCAGGGCAGCCCCCAGAGGCCGAACGCGGCACACAGATGCCTCCTCGCTCTTTGAGTACGAAGTGGGGGGCTCTCTTCTCCTTCTCCTTCTAATTATTATTATTATTATTATTTTTATTATTCCTCTTCTTCTGCTTAGTATTATTCCCATTGTGCTTGCCATTGGTTTTTATTTGCTACATTATCAGCACTGATCGCATTATGACGAGTTTTCATATTATTATTCCTCGTCCTCTTCTTCTTCTTCTTCTCCTCCTCCTCCTCCTCCTCCTCCTCCTCCTCCTCCTCTCATTCCTCTTATGCTATTTCTTCTTCTTCTTTGAATGCGCACATCGAGCCCCCCCTCGTCCGCGCATGTACCTCCAGCGATGCGCTGACTCCCCCCTCCTTCTCCCCCTCTAGGGCACGCGGCAAGCCTCGCGCTGCACCGACGCACTTGGCACGGAAGGATGTATTGCAGCATCGTTGGTACATGTTGGGTGTATTATGGTCCTCCTCCTCCTCCCTCCTCCCTCCTCCTCCTCCTCCTCCTCCTCCTCCTCCTCCTCCTCCTCCCTCCTCCTCCTCCTTCCTTCTCCTCCTCCTCCTCCTCCTCCTCCTCCTCTCCTCCTCCTCCCTCTCCTCCCTCCGCCTCCTCCTCCTCCTTTCCCTCTTTATCCATCTCCTCCTCCTGCTGCTCCTCCTCCTCCTCCTCTGCCTCACGCGGCCTCCCGAGGTTTTCTCACAACAGCCTCCACGACACCCTCAAGGACTGGCACTGCGTGACGATTTCCGAGGCCACCTTTCTTTGGGGCGGCTCGGTCCGAAAGCACATGCAAGCGAGCAGAACGATATGGATGGATAATGAGGGTCTGGCCAACTATTTTCGAGCAGCGGGCGGGAGGAGTAGGAGGCGGAGAACGAGGGCGAGGAGGGGGAGCAAGAAGAGGTGGACAATACGTGCACCACGAATGCCATATCATCCGATTGTCCAGTGAGTGCGGTACTCACTCTTGCTAGCAACATCGCGCAGCAGTGTGCCAGGAGAAACGGAGGAGGCGGGGGAGGAGGAGGAGGCGGAGGAGGAGCAGGATGAGGACCATAATAAGACCAAAGCGCATCGACGATGTTGCAATGAACCCTTCCTTCAAGTTCCTTCTGCACAGGTCCCTACAATAATTTGCAGTCATTGCGGGAAGTCCCCCACTAAAAGACAAACGTCTGAAACACAATTCCTGGGACTTCTCGAGATGCCGTGGCTGTTGCGTCCTGACGATCCTAAATCGTACCAGAACGCCGTTCCTTGGACTCCAACCACGCGAATCTTCTAATTTTGTACAATTGATTGAGACGCGTGCGCGCGGCGCTACAGCGTTCATGGGATCCTGGGACTTCAACCCGACGAATCCTTCAAGCTGGTCGAATTGTTTAAGACGCGTGCGGGCGGCGCTAAGGTTAGAGCCACTGTTCAAAAGGAGCTGTCCTCCGTCTTTGACGATGCTGCAAGGTTGTACGACGAATGCGCGCGGCGCTAAGGCGAGAGCCAGATTACAAATCACCCCCTCTCCATCCTTGAAGCTATTGCAACTGTCATGCTTCAGGATCAGATATGGTGAGGAAGTCTCGGGCAAAACGCCCAGCCTGCCCTACCGCCACGGCTAGGGGTACGACATGGGGGAGTCGTTTAGAAGGAAAAGGGATGGCCCTGAGATCCGACGAGCCCGAGACTCCATCTTTCGGCGCCATTTTTCGAGTCGGATCGACCTGTGAGGGTCCCGGGGCACGAAAATCTAGTGCCTTCGCCTTTGGTGGAGTGGGCGAGCCGACGTTGGGACAGCAGTTAAGACGCTACCGGGGCGGCGGGCGAAAGAGCCCCTTGCGCGACGTCCCCGCACCGACTCCACACTCCCCAGGAGGATCCAGACGCCATCTTTCTGCGGCATTTTCCGAGACGGATCGATATGTGAGGGTCCCGGGGCCAGAAACCCGGCGAAGACGCTTGGCGTGAAAAAATTGCAGCGCACCGATCTTCGGGAGGTCGTTTGAGAAGAACCTCGATCTCCCATTGGCCAGCGCATTCGAGCCTCAGTGGTGGTGCGCGCCAGGTTTGTGAACGGCTTCAACGTTTGCTGCAAGCGTGGGCAAGGATGCTACCGCGTCTGGCAAACATGACTGGTTTCGAATTTCCCGCCCGGGCTGACGCCGCCGAGAGATTTGCTGAATCGTGTGCGTTTTTCGGGGGGATCCCTTGAGGGTTGGTCGTAGAAGAAACAAGAATATCTCCGCCCGGCCAGCGCAGTCGGGCCTCCGCACTGGCCTCGAGGCAGAAGCAGCGGCATAAACCTAAACTATCCTGACTCCGCGCTGATTTCTTGGATCGTCGCCAGACCCCCTCTCTAACGTGCGGAGCGCGGCAGGGGCGACGCCAGAGGCGCCGCCGAGGCGGCCCAGCGCCAGTCCAAGAGAAGTCCGCAAGGAGTTCCGAAGGTTGATGTCTGTGCGGTCTGGCGTTCCTCTGCGCTCGTTTGGCGCAGTATGGGGTGCGTTCGGCGCCTCGGAGATGTAGGGCGTAGATTTCCGCAAAAGTATGGCGGATACAGCGACGGAAAAGAAGGGCGAACATCGGCATCCAAGGAGCTTGACAAAGTAGGGCGAGAATTTCCGCTCTACTTGCGAAGCCGCCAGAAGTATGAAGGATCAGAAATCCGGGTTGTTACGTATAGGGAAGTGTTGCAAGGCCGGCTCTGGATACCTTGAACCCAAAAATGTTGTAGTCTTTTTGGGGCACATTTTTTATTTAGGGGGCCACATGCGAACCCTACCCCTACCCCCCCCTCAGAGATCGTGGGGGGTAGGGGTACGGGTTCGCATGTGGCCCCCTACTACTTCCTTCTTTTACAGCACTGCGCCCAAGCACGCTCAGAAAGGACGCTTCGTGAGGGGCCAACTGAAACCTACCGAAATCGGCGCATCTAAAATCCTATATTTTTTGATGGTGGGCCATAGACAGGGCCCTATTACTTCCGCCAGCTTCCGCCGGCGGAAGCGGCCTCGCTTCACTCCCGCGGGTTTCCGCCGCCCTTCCGCCGCCCTCCGCCGCGGACGAGACGACAGCTCCTTCGCTCCTCGAGGTCGAGGCCCCTCCTGGAACGCCTCAGGCCCAGACTCCTCCTCCTCCTCCTCCTCCTCCTCCTCTCCTCCTCCTCCTCCTCCTCCTCCTCCTCCTCCTCCTCCTCCTCCTCCTCCTCCTCCTCCTCCTCCCCCTCCTCCCCCCTCCTCCTCCTCCTCCTCCTCCCCCTCCTCCTCCTCCTCCTCCTCCCCTCCTCCTCCTCCTCCTCCTCCTCCTCCTCCTCCTCCTCCTCCTCCTCGCTCCTTCTCCTCCCGACACTGTGATTTTTCATGACGTAGACCCCTATAGCGGTCTGGACCCATTCCCCGGAACCGGTTTTCCATTTGTGAGTCGTTGTGTTGAGGGCCCCGAAGATTGGTGCAGGGCCTCCAGAGGCCGAAGGTGGCGACCGGCATGATTTCTGTCATTGCCCAAGGGGGGTCTGGGAATACGGCATTTGGCTGCCACTGCTGCCACCAGAGAATCGGCGGCGAGCCCGCGGGAGGGGGAGGAAGCGAGGAGGGGCGGGCCTTCTCAGAAGCCTCGGAAGCCCCACGGCCGTCTGAGAAGTCTTCTAAGCCTTCCCCGAAGAAACAGAAAGCTTCTCAGAGGGTGCCAGGGCCTCTCAGGGGCAACCATAGGGGGGGGGATAGGCACAGGGGGGGACGCATCGACCCCCAATCACCCATGGATCGCCGATATGGGGCCCGATAGCCACAATCTGCCCAGGAGCATGCGGATTCACTGTCGCGGGCTATCGCCGATCTATTGGCGATGTATCGCCGATTCCGGATCTATGTGTCCCCCCTGTCCCAGTCCCCCCCCCTTTCGTTGCCCCTCAGCTTCTGAGAAGCCCCGCCGCCTTCTGAGAAGACCTTCTCCATCTCACTTCCCCCCCGGGCGCGCCGCCGAATTGTGGTTTCTGGGGGACCATAGCTCGGGCCTCCGGCGGCCGCGCGGGTAAGATCCCGGCCCCCGGGGAACGCCTTCGCCGACGCGCAGCCGCTGCGACGCACCCCCGAGGCTGGAAGACCGTCGAGAACACCAACGCAAACGCCCGAAAACCTCGAACCCCCCGAGCCCGAAACTTCCCCCCCCCTCCCCCCCCCCCCCCTCGCCTCCTGGGGAGGCTCCGTGGCCACTCGGAGCCGTCCTGGAGCGGTCTTGGGGCCTCAAGGAGCATCTTGGGAGCCATCTGGAGCCATCTTAATCAGGCTCTCGTGAACCATCTTGGAGGTCATCAGTTGGGCTCTCTGAGACCCTGTTGGAGCCATCTTGGGCCATCTTGGACGCTCCACCGCCTCGCGAACCCCCCCCTCGAGGTCCAGGGGAGGGGCCAAGGGGAGGGGTAAACTTCTCCCCGAAGGGGAAGAAGGGGGTTGGAAGAGAAACCGTTCTAGGCCACCTCCGCCCAGAGGCCTGGTGTGACTCCGCCTGACCGGCGCGCCAGTCGCTGGGACCGACCCTTTCCCTGGGACAGGCTTTTCCTACAGAATTTGTTCTTTTGACGCTCCCGAGGCCTCGCGAGGGCCCCTCGAGGCTGCAAACGGCCCAGAGTCGCCTCTGCTTTTTGTTACGAGGCAATCCTGTCTGGGTCGTTCGCCGCCGAGGGAACAGCCCCTGAGATCCGACGCTGGCAAAAAATTGCAATATCGCAAACAATCGCGACTGGACCCCTGGACCTCATCTTTCTGCGTCATTCTTCGAGCTGGATCGATATCCGCGAGGGTCCCGCGGGGCCCTACAAAAGGCGAACCTGCCTGCCGCGAGAAAATTGAGACGCCAGGATCTCAGGGATCGCTCGTGCACGGTTTCTCCCGGGGCCGTAGGCGACCCGAGGAGGAGGAGGAGGAGGAGGCGGAGGAGGAGGAGGAGGAGGAGGAGGAGGAGGAGGAGGAGGAGCGAGGTGGAGGAGGAGCGAGAAGGAGGGCCTCCGCCCGGCCGGCGCGCCCAGTCGAGCCTCCGGGAGCTGACGGCCGGCGAGGCCCCCGCCGCGGAGGCCCCCCGGCGGCCCGCCACGACCTCGGCGCTGCAGCGGGCCGCGCTGGGCAGGCGGCGCGCGGCCCCGGCCCCCGCTCTCGGGCCCCGGCCGCTCGCTCGGGCCGCGGCGGCCTGCGGGGCCCCTCGCGTGGCGTTTTTTGTTTGCACACACACGCACACACATATATATGTTTACATACAAACATTCTCACATACCCCTATATATACATATACATGTATGCATATACATATATATATGTGTATATATATATATATGTGTTTATATATATGTGTTTATATATTTACATATATATATATATATATATATATATATATACATGTGTAGTTATATATGTACATATATATATATGTAGGAGGTTGGTCTTCATCTCTATATACAGATGTAGACAATGTTCGAATTGATGTGTTTCCTTTATGTTCACATAAATTAAACATTTGGATTTTAGATACAGGTGATATATATATATACATATAAATGAACATATGTATAATGATTGCATTAACAACTCCCAGACACATTCGCGTCGAACAAGAAAATCGGGGCGGGAGGTTTTCGGCCGTTTCGGCCTCGGGTGGCCCTCGCCAGGTCTCGGGGCCGTCCAAGAACGACCCAGGATGAAGAAGCTGTCCTGGGGAAGGGGTCGGGACTTCCAGGGACCCCTACTATTGAACAAAATCAGGACGACGCACGTCTGGGATCACGACGGGAGGTTTTTCGCTGAGATCTTGGCGTGGCCATTTATCTATTTTTTGACAACCAGCGTTTTCGTTCAGTTTTTAGCTTCGACCAGAAGAGCTGCGCTCTCGACCCGCGGATCAAAAAGCGTTTTCGCTCAGTTTTGGGTCCCGGGGTCCTCACAGATCGATGCGGCTCAGAAAATATGACGCAGGAAGATGCGGTCCAGGGCTCCGGGCGTGATTTTCCACGACGTTGCAATGTTTTCGCTACGTCGGATCTCAGGGAAATCACGACGGGAGGTTATTCTCGAATAAGAAAAACCATATACATAAACTTGTGGCGCTGCGCGCGGATTTCTTGGGTCCGCGCTGGGCCCCCCCGGCGGCGCCTCCGGCGCCGCCCTTGGCGCGCGGGGCACGGCAGGGAGGGGGGTCCAGCACAGATCCAAGAAATCCGCGCGGAGCGCCACGAGTTTATGTTTATGCTGTTTTTTGCTTTCCTAATTTTTGCAGTCTTCGGCCTCCGGGGGGGGGCCCTCGCCGGGTCTCGGGGCGGTCAACAACATTTCTCAGGATGAAGCTCTGGTCCCGGGGAAGGGGTCCAGGCCCAGACATGCGATCTTCTGATATCTTCAATGCGTGGAAATGGAGGGTTTCTCCGAAGGGCGTCAGGCCCTTCCCGTTCTCCTCCTCCTCCTCGCAGGATCAGCTGACACGCCTCTGCAGAGTCGTTCGTTCGTTCGTTCTTCTCCTCATCATCATCATCCTCCTGCTCCTCCTCCTCCTCTTCCTCCTCCTCCTTTTCCTCCCTCCTCCTCCTCCTCCTCCTCCATCTCCTCCTCCTCGCCCTCCTCCACCTCCTCCTCCTCTTCCTCGGGTCGCCTACGGCCCTTGCCCCGACCCTTGCCCCGAGACCGGTCTTTCTTAAGCCGAGTCGTTTCTGACGGTCCCGAGGCCGAAAGAGGGCCCAAATCCTCGGGTCCTGATTTTCTCGCGACGCGATCGTGTCTGGGGACCTCTGGGGGTCGACGTGTTGAAAAAGACGTCGACGCCTGGGGTCTGGGGCCCGCGGCCGCCTTCGGCGGCCCGCGGAGATCTCTGGGCGCGCGGCGCTCTCCCAGCGATGCTCACCGAACGCGTTCCACTACCCTGGCCTCTCCACAGGAGGGGTCTTCAAAAATAGTCAGCAGATAGCCTGGACACGATATTTTTTGACTATTTCTGAGTATGGTTGAATATGTTTGGGCTGCTTCCTTTTTTGCGTCCAAGATCAACCTGCAGGGGGACATGCCCGACCGAACGCAAGCGTCTAGAAGCCCGCATGCTGCTCGACGCAGCGGAGCCGGACCCGAACGCGCTGTGAAGAAGTCACGCCCGGAGGGTTTGGGCTGTTTCTTCGGCCTCGGGAGGCCCCCGCGGGGCCGCGGGGCCGTCAAAAAGCGGCCCAGCACGAAAATCGGGCGATCGCAAGCATGGATCCAGGGGGCGCGGATGAGCGACGGGCCCCGTTTCCCTGGGAAGCCGCGGGGTTCCGCCGCCGAACTTTCTGGGCGGCGCCCGCCGCACTTTGGGGAGGGCCCCTCCCCCGATCCGTGGATGTGGTGACCGCGCGCCAAATCCACGGATCGCTAATCCGTGTCTGCGCGCGCCCCCGAGCGAGACCGGGCCCGGGACGTCCAGGTGCCCAGCATTGGACAAGTCAGGACGTCGCACGTCTGGGAGCACGTACTGCTCGATGCAGCGGAGCTTGCCTGCCTCGACGCCACGGACCCTAGCCATGCGCGAGCCATTCTACAGTCGACCCGCCTACAGGAGCCGGCTTGAATAAGGAGCACTTACTTTTCAAGAGGGGCTCGGTCGATCATTGCATGCGTTCCGCTATCTTTTTGGCGCGAGCCCCCCTGGTGTTCCTTCAGACTTGGGACGCGCGGGTCCGTTCCTTCGGACTTCGTAGACTTACTTGGAAATAAAAGGCTTCGTTCCTTATTTATCGTTCCTTAGGTCAGGCCGAATCCTGTAGTAAGGATGAGCAACCTTCCAAGGGTACCGTGCATCCTCCCCCTTCGGCCCATTCTTGGCCGCTTTCGCTGGCCGCGCCCCGCTCGCAGAGTGTCGACACGGCCCTCTAAGAGGCCATGGCATCCTTATCGTGCGCCCCGATTCTGCGGGTTGCCTGCCACTACTTTGCGAGTCGTGGACCCAGACTTGCGACGTCCTGATTTTTCCACACGGGGCCCCTGGAGCCCCGACCCCTCCCCCAGGGACCGGTTCTTCCTCCCGAGTCCTTCTCTGACGGTCCCGAGGCCCAGCGAGGGGCCCCCCGAGGCCAAAAACGGCCATATGATGCCATATGAACCCTCCCGTCTTGACGTTCTCACGGCCCTGAGATCCGACGCTACAGAACAATGGCAGCATCGCGCATACAGTGGAGGCCCATGTCAGGAAACACCTCGCTTGCCTCCACCCTGGGTTTCTTCGGTGTCGATGGTTTTGCTATGGAAGGCGTGACGTTCCCACACCAAAAATCAGTGGACGTCCTGGGGTCTCAGGGTTGGAATTATTGTGGAAGGTTTCTCGTGGTCGAGCCCCTATTGCCATCATGACCGGAGCCCTGGGCCCCGTCGTTCTGCGTCATGTTTCGCGCCGGACCGAGCTGCGAGGGCCCCAGGGCCCGAAAGGGAGGGACAACGCATGCTCGTACAGTGAGGAAGTTGCAGCGCCAGGAGCTCCGGGGACGCGATCATGTCTGGGGAGCTCGCTTGTCCAGATGAGGCGGTCCACAAAATGGCCTTGCCTTCGAGGATCGAAGGAGTTGGCACCTCTGCCGCGGCGGAAGGCGGCGGAAGGGCGGCGGAAGTAAACCGAGGCCGCCTCCTCCGGCGGAAGCCGGCGGAAGCCGGCGGAAGCCGGCGGAAGTAAACCGAGGCAAACGCTTTGCCAACCCCTCCGAGTACTTCAACGCGATGGAGGGCGTCATCATTGAGGCCGCCTCCCAGGACTACATTGACATGCCACAGCCGCGAGGTGCTTCTACGGAGCCAGTCTTCTCGGAGGCCACTGTGCGACTCATCAAGATGAAGCATCATTGGCAGCACCAACTGGCCGCTCTCTCTTCGAGCTCGAGATGGCTGACCCTTTTCTTCCACCAGAAGTTCCTTGAGGCGTCCAAGATCTGCACCAAGGCCATCAGGAGTGAGAAGCGGCAGCGTATGGCTCATCTTGCCGCACTTGCCGAACGCTCGGCTGGCGAGAACAACTTACGGCGCCTGTTCTCCATCGTGCGCCGTCTCGCACCCAAGCCGCCTGCACCCATCATGACCGTCAACGACCCGCAGACAGGCCTCCCATGCTTTGACTCAGAACGTGATAACCAAGTCCGAGTGGCGAGTATCTGTTCGCTGTGCAATGGCACGGCGATGGCGCTCCATGAACTACCAGTCCGAGCCCGTGACATGGGCCGTGATGATGATCGCATTGGGCCGTATGACTTGGCCGACATCAAGCAGGGCATTCGCAACCTGCCGAACTTCAAGGGAGGCCCTACCTTGCAGTGGTTCCCATTGGCTCCCCCCACTGGTGCGGTTGCAGAGACTTGGAAGCTTGCCTTAGAGAACGTCAGCCCGCCCTTACTCCAGATCTTTCAATGCAGTCAGGCGTTGGGCTCCGCACCCCAGCGGTTCAAGGATGGCGAGACTGCACACCTGCGCAAGCCGAAAGGCGATGGGAAGTCTGCCATGAACGACTACCGCACCATCAGCCTCATCAACCACATGGGCAAGGTCTTCGCGCGGGTCACCGCCCTTGACGCCATGCGCGACATCTCTCACAGGATCTCCCCGACCCAGTTCGGCGCCATGCCTGGCCGTGGCACTCGGGACGCAATTTCGGTTGCGATGGAGGTCATCACTCGTCATCAGCATGCCCATCGAGTTCGAGTACGCGGACGCGCCACGGATCCTCCTCCTATGCTGCTGGTCATCCTTACTGACTTGGAGAAGGCCTTCGACATCATCGCACGGCAGTCCATCTGGGACAGCCTGGAGTCTCTCCAACTACGGCCTGATGCACGTGAGACGCTGGAGGAGCTCCATGACGGCATGTGCTACCTCTATCGTGATGTGCGCACTCGCCTACCCTGCTCTCGCATTCATGTTCAGCGCGGCGTCCGCCAGGGAGGAGTGGAAAGCCCTGGTCTTTTTGTCGCTGCTTATGACAAGCTAGTTGCCGAAGTGGCAGAATGTCAGCGCGAGAATGAGTTTCCTGGGATCTTCGTTTACTTTGACCCCAGCCTCAAGAAGATCCGCACCTCGGACCCGCTGCCGAATGACTCCTGCGAGTGCCTGGACGTTACCCACCTCCAGTTCTTAGACGAC